GAATCAGAAATTTGATTTACCAATCGTCATCACAATATCTCAATCTATTATACACATGTAACATCTATATCATTTCTATTTAGTTTAAACTTTAAAATAATAATCCTATGATATTTTAGATAGTATAAAAATTCTATATACTTACTCAAAATCATTACTGTGAAGAATTTTTCGACTGCCCTTGATTGCAGATTCAGATCCTTCAACCTCAAACAAGTCATCTGGATCAGCTGGTTCGATCTCCCACTTTCTAACTGTAGCAACGAACACTTGAGCCACACGGGGTAAAGGGTTACCACACGGTTTAACATACCGATACTTAGGCGTTCCGAGCAAAAATGCTACCAGTGCAATAATGGCAGAACATAATGAAACCAAAAATCCTAGTGTCCATTTCCCTGTATCTTCGTAATAAACCAGCACGGTGTTCGAAAACAGCGATCCAACGTTGAGTGCGAAGTAAAAGTAACAAAAGAATGCAGTCTTGGAGATTTTCTCTTTTGGGTTTCTCTCATCAAATTGATCTGCTCCAAATGTGGCTATGGTAGGTTGATGTCCTCCATATCCGAAAGCAACCATGTAAATCGACAAGTAAAAAAGGGCAGCCCCGGCTGAAGATGCAGGATTGCAGCTCAAATTTCCATCTCCACAGCCCTCAGGCTTGATCAAGAACAGCCATGAGGATAATGATACTAGTCCCAAACCCTTTTCATAAAAAACACATACATGAACATATAAGCACATGTTGAGACTACATTGTATACATAAATATATATATATATAAGGGCTCTGATTAAATTACCAAAACAAAGATCAGCTGAAAGATTGTGCAGGTTAAGTAGCGGCCCCAGTAAGAATCACTGAGGAAAGCTCCAATCAGTGAACAAAGATAAACCGTTCCGGTCCATTTGCTGACATTATTTGCAGCCTGTGAATTATTTTGGCCTAGAACTCTCGTCAAGAACAAAACCAAATTCACTCCAACTCCGAAGAATGCTAGTGTTGCCATGCCTTGATTCACTGCACCAGATTAATCGACAAGTAACCGTTAAAAACGAAGATATTAACTCAACGAGTTCTATTTCGAGTCAAGATAGGAGAAATCAAACATATTATTCAGAATAAAATTAATATTACCAAGCAACAGCATTGCATATTTCCAGCCTCCAGTGCTGCTGTTCTTCATGATGGAATCCTTAGTAATTCCCATAGTTGCGAATTTCTGATCATCGTCGATGTTATTAACCCTTCACAGCCACAGAGAAATCGGACCCGGAGCCGATATAATCTCCTCTTTCCTGATTTT